TTTTGGGTTTTTTAAAAGATTCTCCATATAGATTCTCCATATAGATTCTCCATATCATATTTGTCTTTCTCCATCTGACTTATTTCACTTAACACGATACACTTAAGTGTTATCCATGTCATTGCAAATGGCAAGATTCCCTTCTTCTTTGTGGTTGAGTAATATTCCAGTGTGTGTGTGTGTGTGTGTGCACGCGCACGTGTGTGTGTGTGCATGTGCCAACATGTATACAGACCACATCGTCTTTATCCATGTATCTATGGATGGACGCTGGCTGTTTCCATGTGTTGGATACTGTAAATAATGCTGCCGTGAGCATTGGGGTGCCAGATATCTTTTTGAATTAATGTTTTTGTTTCTTTCAGATAAATACCCAGAAGTGCAATTGCTAGATCGTAGGTAGTTCTATTTTTCATTTTTTGAGGACCCTCCACACTGTTTCCCAGAGCCGCCACACCAGTGTGCATTCCCACCCATGGTGCAAGAGGGTGCTCATTTCTCCACATCGTCACCAGAATCTGTGGTTTCCTGAGTTGTTCGTTTTAGCCATTCTGACGGGTGTGAGGTGGTATCACCCTGGGTTTGATTTGTTTCCCTGATGCTGAGTGGTGCTAAGTGTCTTTTCATGTGTCTGTTGGTCATCGTGTATCTTATTTTTGGAAAATGTCTGTTTAGATCCTTTGCCCACTTTTTAATGACATTGTTCATTTTCTTGCTATTGTGTTTTATGAGTTCTTTATATACTTTGGGTATTAACCCCTTATCAGATATATGGTTTGCAAGTCTTTTCTCCCATTCAGTAGTTGTGTTTCCATTTGTCAATGGTTTCCTTGGCTCGGCAGAAGCTTCTGGTTTGATGTGGTCCCGCTTGTTTTTGCCTTTGTTGCCTTTGCATTTGGTGTCAAATACAAAAAATCTTCACCAAGACCAACATCAAGGAACTTAACCCCTATGTTTTCTTCTACAAGTTTTATGGTTTCAGGTCCAGTATTCACATCTTTAACCCATTTTGAGTTGATTTTTGTGTGTGGGGTGAGATAGGGGTCCAGTTTCATTCCTTTGCATGTGGCTGTCTGTTCAGTCTCTTAACAGTGTCTTGTGTAAAGCAAACGTCTTTAATTTTGATAAAAGCCAATGTAGTCATTAATGTATTTATAGATTGCAAATTTTGTTATCATATCTAAGAAATCTGCCTAACTCAAGATCACAAGACTTTCTCTTATGTTTCCTTCTGGAAAATTTAAGTTTTAGGTTTTACATTTAGATCTGTGATCCATTTGATTTAGGTTTTGCTTTGGGTTTTTTGTTTGTTTCTGTTTTTGTTAGGTTTTGTATATGGAGTGAGGTAGGGTTTGATGTTTATATTTTTTTATATGGTATGCACTTGTTCCAGCAACATTTGTTGAAAAGTCTACCCTTTTATCACTGCATTACCTTTGTATTTAGGTCAAAACTAAATGAAGGGCGTCTGGGGGGCTCAGTCCGTTAAGTGTCTGACTTTGGCTCAGGTCACGATCTCACAGTTTGTGGGTTTGAGCCCCGCGTCGGGCTCTGTGCTGACAGCTCAGAGCCTGGAGCCTGTTTTGGATTCTGTGTCTCCCTCTCTCTCTGACCCTCCCCTGCTCTCTCGTTCTCTTTCTCTCTCTCTCTCTCTCTCTGTCTCTCAAAATTAAACAAAAACATGTAAAAAAATTTTAAAAACCTAAATGGTACATAATATCATTTTATGTCAGTTATGCCTCACTTAAATTATGCCTCAACCTCCCAAAAATAAATAAATAAACAAATACATAAATATAAATAAATAAAGAGTAAACAAATGGTACGTGTGTGGGTTTGTTCGTGGACCCACTGTTCTGTTCGACTGGCTATTTGTCCATCCTCCTCCCAATAGCACACTGTAAAAATCCTTGCTATCAGGGAGTGCGAGTCCTTCAGTTCGTTTCTTCCTTCTCAGAGTTGTTTGACTTTTCTGGAATCTTTGCGTTTTCACGTGGACCTTAGAATCCACTTGTCCGTTTCTGTAGCGGAGCCCAGGGCAGCAGGGTTGGGGCCACCTTTGGTCTGGAGAACTGACATCTCAACATTACTGGGTCTTCCGACCCGTGAGGAAAGCCTGTCTCTCCCCTTATTTAAATCGTTCATTCCTCTTGGAAATATTTTGGAATTTTCAGTGAGTAGGTCTTTTATGTCTTTTGTTGGATTTATCCCTAATTTTTTCATATTTTGGATGCTATTGTAAATGTTATTTCCTATTTTGGTTTCTGCTTATGTGTCCCAAGTATTTATCCATTTCATCTAATTTGTGGGCGCTGTTGGCTTGCAGTTGTTCATAATATTCCCTTATTATCTTTTCAAGATCTGTAGAATCTGTAGTGATGTCATGTCTCCCATTTCTGATACCTGAACATGTGTCTCTCTGTCTCTCTCCTCCTTTGTAAGGCTCTTCATGCTCCTGGGTGGGTTATGCTAACTCATGTTTATTTTTGTCCTGGAAGCTGAAAAGGACATGGCTCCTCATGGGGGGGGTGGGGGGGAATGTCTGCAGCTTTTGAACGATCAGAGTTGTCTGGAAGTTGACATCCAGCCATCCCCTCAACCAGGGCCATGACTCTGGCTTACCAACCAAATTTCAGACACTGACTCTCATAGTGGAACTTTCCTTCCACTCAGTCTGTTCAATCACTACCTGGGATAGAGGCTTATTTATGAGCTGCGACGGACAGGTTCTCACACTCAGGGCTCAATAGTTTGTCAATGGCACTCATGGCCTTCCCTATCTTTTCACAGAGTAACTTAGTTAAGATCAAGGAATTCCATAACATTTATGCAATCATGCCAACCTCTGCACCTTGATGTTTCAAATGTTGGGATCATGGCCGCCAGCAGAGAAGAGACCAGAAAGAGATGCAGGGCCTCTGGAGGGTATAATGGTGCAAAGGGACATTTGCTCTTCCTGTGACTTCCTTCTCCACCATCCAAGTTTCATTCCCCTGAGGTAGTGTGTACTTCATATAATCTGAAAACAAAAATCTCTGTCTGTTTATAAAACAAAGGAAAAAGTCACATACGAAAGAACAAATATCAATAATATGTACGGGTGACAATGTGACAGCCTCCCAGACCCAAGGAGCTGCCAAAGTTCCAGCACCAGACTGCGTGTCTGTGGCTCAGCACGCCCGGGCCCACTGGGGCCCCGGCGTCCGTGCCGACACGCCCACTGGGCTGCCACGTGCCGGTCCTGGGAGGCAGCCATCGGCTGGGATGGCCCGCTGCCAGACCACACGGCGCGACGCTTTGGGCCCAGCCCACAGAACAGCTCGGGGAGGGTGTCCACAGAGGCCTTCACGTGGTGACTTGGGGACCCAGCTTCCCGCTCGCTGCCCAGCCACCTCCGAGGCACCAGCCTCCCCGTCTTCCTCTGACGGGAGGGATTGTGGGCGCTTGTGGGCTGTTCCAAAGGACGTGCTTCGGTTGTGTGCTGTGCTGTGTGGAAGGCCGGGACTGGACGGCCGAGACCATCAGAGAGGCCTGGCGATCTGAAGGTGGGTAACGTCCACCCAGAAAAGATGGGAAGAGGACCGAGGTCCAAATGCAGAAGACGCAGTGTTTGAGGGCCGGGGGAGGTAGACAGTGAGACAGACTGGGACATGCCACGGCTTCAGCCACAGGCCCACGGAGGCCACGAGAGGGTGTTTAGGAGTATGTTCCAGAGAGAGAAGGAAAAGGGGGCGGCGGCTGGACAGAGTGACAGCTGTAGGGGGGTGTCGAGAGGGTGCGCACAGCCAAAGGGAAGGTGCTGAGGTCTGGGTGGCAAGGACTTCTGGGGTGCAGGAGGGCCTCGCACACCCAGCCACCAGTCCGCCCGCTGGGACCCCGCCACACACCCAGGCCCCGCCTCCAGGAAAATGCAAAGGCGTTGGCCCAGGTGTGAATGTCTTCACCCAGGGGGTGCTAGCAGGGCCCCCTTTGGGTAGGAAATTCCGGGCTGCGTTGAGAACGTGGGTCTGGGGAGACCAGACCAGAAGGGGCGGGGCGGGCGCTGGCGGGGAGGCAGCTGGGTCACTGGGGAAAAAGATGACGGTGCCCGGAAGTGGGAACTGGCCGTGGAGATGGGCAGGTGCGACGGGAGGTGAGGGCGAGGCCACCCCATGCGTGGGTGATGCCCAGCCCCCCACTGTGCCGGCAGGCAGTCGGGCTGGGGCACGGGCAGAAGTTTGCCTCTTAACGGGTTAAATCTAAGGTGCCTTTGAGATTTCCAAGGGAAGCTGTGGGGAGGTGCTGGACAGAAAGCCTCAGGCTCAGAGGGGTGGTCGGATATGCACATCTTCGTGGGCGTCCCCACTGTTTAGACCAGGAGTAATTTTAGGATCCTGAATGTGACCGTGTCAGGGGAGATCTGGGCCGGAACAGAGCTCTGTGTGACCCCAGTGTTACAGGCAAGGGCTGGGGTCCGGGGGCAGGGGCGAGGCGGGGGTCACGGTTTCAGGTGCAGCTAAGCAATCAGGAGGAAGTTTCCAGATGCAAAGGGGACAGGGAGCGTGGGTGCTCTGCTCAGCAGCCATTGTGTGGGGTCCTGCAGGGCCCCGTGGGCCTTGCAAGGGGGCTGGGTGATGGGTTGGAAGCAGCCTGGTGGCCCAGCCTGGAGAGGGCGGGTGGGGGCCGCGGCGGGGATGGCGCTGGGGGCCGCGGCGGGACCTGCGCAGCCGTCCAGGCGGGAGCGCGGGCCAGGAGGCAGCCAGGGGACGTGGTGGGGAGGCGCTTCCTGGGCAGCCCCACAGTGTGTGAAGCAGGAGCGGGGGAGGCGGGGTGGGGCAGCCGCCCGCAGGTGGTGCGCCAGGGGCTTCCACTGAAGAGGAGACGCTCTGGGCGGGGACTCGCAGGAGACACAGGGCACTGGGGCGAGAGCGGGGTGAGGAACGGCCCCGCTTTCCCTCGTCCGGGGAGACCCATGGAGGGGCCCCAGGGGGCGGGGGGGCCCAGCAGTTGCAGCAGTTCGCATGCTGAGCGAGAGCACAGGTGAGTCTGTGACTCAGGGGTGGGGCCGGACCTCCGAGTGGACGCCTGCAGGGCGTGTGCCAGTGTGCCCTGTGAGTGAGTGTGCCTGTGTGTACCTGTGTGTGAAAGTGTGCTTGTGTGTATGCCTGTGTTTGAGTGTGTGTGCCTGTGAGTGAGTGTGCCTGTGTGCACCTGTGTACCAGTGTGGGTGTGCATGCGTGAATGTGTGTGTGCCTATGTGTGAGTGTGCATGTGTCTGTACCTGCATGCCAGTGTGAATGTGTGTGCCTGTGTGTGAGTGTGCCTGCGTGTACCTGTGTACAGTGTGGGTGCCTGTGTGTGCACCTGTGTGTGAGTGTGCTTGTGTGCACATGTGTGTACAAGCATGCCCTGTGTGTGAGTGTGCCTGTGTGTACCTGTGTGCCAGTGTGAGTGTGCATGTGTCTGTGTGTGTGTACCTGCGTGCCAGTGTGAGCGTGAATGTGTGTACCTGTGTACCAGTGTGAGTGTGCGCGTGCCTGTGTGTGAATGTGCGTGTGTGTGTGGCTGTGGGTGGGGGGCTATGCATGTGTTGGGGATGTGGAGATACCAGCATGGCTGGCTCAGTCCTCTGGGCGCCTGCGGGCACGGCTGTGTTCCCCGCCCGCCGCGTCCCCGTCTCCTGCAGGCGTGCACGTGCAGGCACACTCACACATGCACACTCACTCACAGGGCACACTGGCACATGCGTGCACATGCAGGCACACTCACATGGCCCTGTCACTGACTTTCACAAAGCCTGCTAGAGCCCCAACCGGGGGCCAAGTGGCGGCAAGTTTCGGAAACTGAGGCTGAGGGGGGAGGGGTTTCCCCAGGGCTTGGAGAGCTTGATCTGGCCCCGAGCTGGACGTCCGGGCCCGAACCCCACACCCTGGCACAGCCTTGTGTGCCGCGGGCGCCGGAGGCTGGGGCGCTCAGCAGAGGGCCGGCCCCGATGACAGAGCCTGCCTCCTCCAGGTATTAAATGTTTCCAGATCCTGCTCGGCGTGGCCTTCTCTGTCCCTTTGATCCACGCCATTCATCCTGAGCCTGTCTCCTTCTTCCTGTGCATGCCTGCCCTGGAGGGGGGGCTGGAGCCCCTGTGGCTGGGGCCCCCAGAGGTCACCCTGTCCTCCCCCGGCCCCCGACAGAGCAGAGCTGCTGGGCAGGGGCCGGACGCCTGGCTTTGCTCCCCCTTCTCCAGGTGGGGCTGGGCCACGTGGTCCGGGGCCGATGGGAGGGGGCAAAGGGTCACCAGAGGCAGCTCAGTGCTTCGTCTTCAACAGAAGCCCTAGCGGCCAGTGGGGCTCTGAGCAGCACAAAATGCCGGCGCCTGCCCACCACTCTGGAGTCTCCCCTGTAAGGACCACCTCTCTCTCTCCTCGGGCGAAGCCGGGGGGAAAGGCTGCCCTCCCTGTGTGGGGGAAGCCCGCCCCTAAAGCACAATCCAAGCTCCCGGCAGGCAGGTGGGCGCCCTGGGGTCCTGTTCCTCGAACACTGGCCCCTTGCAGGGGGCATTCGCCTTGACCATGGCTGTCACTCAGCCTCTAGAACAGTGCCTTGCACCTGCTGAGACCAGGTAAATGGTGGGTGAAGGCATGAATGAGTGAATGAGTGAACGGGTGAGAATGAATGGATGAGTGAATGGATGAATAAGTGAATAAATGAATAAATAAATGAATGAATGAGGGGATGAATCAATGATTGAATGGATAGATGACTGAATGAAAGAATGATGGATGGTGGATGAATGGACAGAGGGAGGGGTGGATAGGGGAATGGATGATGGATAGAAGGGTGGATAGAGGGAGGGATGGATGGTGGATGGATGGACAGAGGGAGGGGTGGATAGGGGAATGGATGGTGGGTGGAGGGATGGAGGGAGAGAGGGACAAGTGGATGGGTGGTCGATGGATGGACAGAGGGAGGGAGGGATGGAGGGATGGTAAATAGAGGGATGGATAGAGGGAGGGATAAAATGTGGCGGATGGATGGATGGGTGGCGGATGGATGGATGAGGGAGGAGACGAGCCAGCGTGTGTGTGCTGCCTGGGTGGCCGCCCCTCCCTGTTTCTGCTAGTGACCAGAGTGGAAGGTGTGGGGCATGGTGTCCGCCCAGCTCTGTCCCGAGCACCGTCTCCTTGCTGGGGTGCTGGGACTCCGGCGTGTCACCGCGGGCCCGCCCACCCTCTTGTTGCCAGTTCCCCGAACTGGATGCTCTGTGCAGCACCCTTGCTCGGGCTGTGCCCGCCTGGCCCGTAGCCTCGCAGACATGCTCTGGGGGCTTCTGCTGTCACCCAGCAGTCCAGGCTGGCAGAGCTAGTTCTGAACGCCTGGCGCACCCACCTGGGCTCAGCAGCCCCTTCTGAAATGTGCCCAGACGTGCTTCAGCGTCAGCAGAGCCCAGGGCTGTCAAGGTCGCACCGGGAGAACACACCTCTCTGTGAGGGCCGGCCCAGGAGAAGGGACAGGGCCCGGCGGGCACAGCACATTCCTCTGGGCCCCTGGGCTCTCTCTGCCTGGCGGGGCCCAGGGACGTGCCTGGAGCCCTTGAGGACTCGGCGTGGAGATGCGTGCCCACCCACTGGACTCTCCGTCCTCCAAGCGGCATTTTGGCTCAGCGGACTGGGGGCCTCCCCTGCCTCTCTGGCCCTGCTGGGGAGCGGGTGCTGTGAGGGGGTGGTCCTGGGGCAGCTGCAGGGGTCTTCCATGTCTGAGCAGCTGGAGTCAGCCCGCCTCCCCCCGGGCTCTCTGACCCCCACAAGGATCTAGAACCTTCCTTTGCTTCAGTGAGGCCCTCTGAGGTCAGACCCAGCAGGGGCTGGACCAGTGTGGCTCAGAGCAGGAGGAAAGCAAGACAGCCCACTTGTGCCGGACACCCCCTCTGCCCAGATTCCCGGGAGACAGTAGGCGCTCTCTTGGGGACAACGGGGGCTGGGCCTTCTATATGGAGCCGTTCTTTCCTTTATGCACAGACGCCCCCATGGGCCCCAGAGGGGCTGGCTTCCTCTTCACATTCAAGGGGTTCTGGGCCCAGGGTCCTGTCTGTGCCCGGTGCACATAGGCGGGCTTTGTGTGCGCGTGTGCACAAAGGTGGGGGAGGGGTGCCTCTGGAGCCCACCCCATCCGGCCCGTGTGTGGGGGATGCGGCCAGCGAGGTCTCAGGGGTTCGGGCCCAGAGCAAACACCACGCTGGTCTAGATCTGAGACGCGGGGTGTGCGTTTCTGTGCCGCCCACAAGTTTGCGTATTTGCGAGTTTGCGTTTTCTTTGGGGGACACCGCGCTGGCTGTGGCTGGTGGCCAGCCCCCACAGAGGGACGCAAGGTGGCCGGAGGCCTCTCGGACCCCCACACCTGCACTCACATCTGGCCCAGGTTTCTGTCTGCAGCGGCCTGTCCGCAGGGGCCGAGCAGGTGCTTGTCTGCAGCCCCTGATGCCGGCAAGAGCCGCCCGGCCAGGAGCCCTATCCGAGTGGGTCCAGATGGAGAACGTGGTCCTGGAGCCCCAGGCCCGGCTCCTCCTGTGAGCCCAGTGCCATCTGCGGGGCGTGGCGGGGTGCCGAGGCCCAGATGACCGCGGCCAGGCCACCGGTCCAGCCTGGGGCCTCTCTCTGTGGCTTGGGGTCCTCCATGTCCGTGGCCAATGCACCGGACAGCCACCTGTCCTTGCTGCCTAGGCCAGGCCCTGGGAAGGGTGACGCGGGAGGGGAGGAGGGGCCAGGCCCTTCCATCAGACGTCCAGGCCCCACTGACAGGGCCACACCAGTCCTCAGCCACCACCGAGGCCAGGGGGAAAGCAGCCCCGAGGGCAGAGGTGAGGAGGGAGAGTAAGAGGCCCCGGGGACTCTGCCCACTCTCCGAAGCGCAGGGAGGTCCAGCTCCCCACTCTCCACCGGCCTGGTCTACAGCTGGAGTCTGGGGCAGGGACAGTGCCTGAGGGGCCGGGACACCCAGCCACGAGGGGTGGCCCCGGGAAAGGTGAGGCAGTGGAGCCATCCGGATGTGGGAGCCGTGATGGGAGGGCCCGGGCAGCCTCGATGAGCACAGATTTCAGCTCCACAGGCCGAGAGAGATGGCCGCTCAATGCAGGAGCCTGCTGAGAGCAAAAGTAGTAAGCTCCCTGTGGCTGGGAGCAACCAAGCAAAGGCCAGCCAAGAGTGCCATGGGACACCCTCAGGGGTGCTGGGGAATGAGACAAACGTCATCTGGGGTTCTGGGGAAGGGGGGTCCTCCGTCCTGTTCACCCGGAGCGGCGTGCTGCCGTCAGACAGCGGCTGACCCTGAAACGCAGCCACACCCCAACCCTAAAAGAGCTTCCCTGAGTGCCGACACCTCCCAGATGGAGCTGGTGGTCCACTATCCGTGTCACCGGGCTCCGTGGCCCTCGCAGCCGTGAGGCACGGGACCCATGAGCTTGGAGCCTGGCGGGCACCTCCTTCCACCAAGGGCAGGCGGGCAGGGGAGGTGGGGGCCGGGACCGGGGTCCTGGGCTCCTGGGACATCTGTGACAACCTTGGACCCCAAAGGTCATCTCCCTTCTCTTCCCCCACGGCCCGTCTGCACCCCCTCGTCCCCTTCCCCCCTGCGTCCCCGTCCCCCATGCTGCGGGCACCCTTGGGTCCTGGGCCCGGGAGCTGCGTGGCCTCCAGCGGCCCTGCCAGCAGGCCAGCACACCTGATCCTTGGCCTCCGTCTGCAGGGCTCAGGAGCTAGAGGTGTGAGAAGGGCCTGATCGGGGGCACAGGGAGCGGAAGCCCAGCCCTCCCCGGGGGGCCCCAGCCCTCCTGCAGCCCCTCTGCCCCCAGGCCAGACCTGTCCCTGGGCTCCGTCAGCGCTTCCGGGCAGGGAGGTTTGGGAGGAGTCGGACAAGACTGCATAGGCTCTGGGAGGTGCCCTTGGGCAAGCGGCACCCCCCTCTCTCTCCCACCCCCCACCCCCGTGCTGGCTGCCCCACCCTCCCACGGCCAAGAGCGATGCCCGCCAGCAACAGCAGAGCGCCGTAAGGGTGAGGACACCCAGCCTATCCCTGACTTTGTGGGAGCTGCTAGGGGGTGTCCTTGGGGTCTCCAGCGCCTGCAAGGGAGGCCCTGGGGTCTCCCCAGCTTCAGGGCACCGTGGAAGGTACCGGAAGCCCAGGGAGCAGGAACTAGCTGTCTGAAGGGACTGTCTGTCCTGGGGGCTCTGACGCAGGCCAGCCAGGGTGGTGGCATCGGAGTGGACCACAGGGCCCCCTCCTCTGTCGGACGGTGATGAGGAGGAGCGGGGATCCCCATCACACAGCTCCCTCCCGGGACCCTCCCGCCACCAGGAGCAGTCCCCCCCAGGCCTGGTGCTGCCCAGTCCGGGCTCCCCCATTGCTCGAACGAGGAGCCCCCTTTCTGCCGCAGCCAGAAGGCCCGGACTGGAGACCGTCCCTCCCTCGGCAACTCTGGCGTCGCCCCAGCCGAGCGAGGAAAGGATCGTTCCCACCCTGGGGGGCTCAGCAGGGTGGAGGCGGTGCCCCAGGCCCCCATCCTGCGTGAGAACAGGGGGTTGGGCCATTGTGCATCAGGCAGCCCGCAGGTGCCCCCAACCCAGACCCCACAACGGGGACTCCTGGGCCTGGGCGCGAGTGAGGGAGAGCGAGTGGGGCAGGGCGAGGAAGTCCACCTGTTCCCGCTCCCCCCCGCCCCCGGGAAGTGGGGGATTGGGCGTGGCCGAGCCCCTCTGCTGCTGACAACACAGGGCGTTTAATTCAGTAGAGCGTGTGCGGGTCTGTTCTGAGCCTGCGCCCCGAGGGTCGAGCGGCTGTCCGGATGTGGCACCGGAGTCCTGCTCTCCGGGGACAAACGGCTCGGTTATTTGGGGGAGAAATTGAATTAGGGCTAATTTTAGGCCCGGCAAGATCTAATCAGTTTCCCGCCTGCTAGGGAAACGCCGTCTGGCCGGGGCCGCCGTCGGGAACCACACGGTTGTCCCGCACGGTGCTCAGGGCCCCGCTGCCCCAGCGCCCTCCAGGGCGGGGCCTCCCCAGAGCAGGCGCGCCGCTCGGGCCGCCATGGCCCGGGACGGCGTGCCCTTGTCGCGGTCACTGGCAGGGGTCCTGGGCACGCCCCACACCCCCAGGCTTGTCGATACCCAAATGTACATTTTTCGGTCTGTGGAGAGATACTTGAATACCTGGCTTTCCCCCAAAATGTTTGGTGGAAAATTTAAATGTGAACCAACAGAGACAGAACAGTGAGCCCCGGACGCTGCACACGCGTGTCCTCACAGGCCTCCGCACCCGGCCCCGCACTATTTTGAAGCGAATTAAAAGGACTTTTTTTTAAATAAGAATTTTGCGGGGCATCTGGGTGGCTTAGTCAGTTAAGCGTCCGACTTTCGACTTTCGCTGAGGTCATGATCTCGCGGTTCGTGGGTTCGAGCCCCGCGTCGGGCTCTGTGCTGACTGCCGGCTCAGAGCCTGGAGCCTGTTTCAGTCTGTGACTCCCTCTCTCTCTGACCCTCCCCTGCTCACGCTGTCTCTCTCTCTCTCTCCTAGAAATAAATAAAACATTAAAAAAATAAATAAATAAATAAGAATTTTGCTTAGAATTATTTTGCTTTGAAACCCAGAGAAAAAGCCCTGGAAGCGCCCACCCACGCCCGGTGTGAGAGCTTCCTGTTTGGCCTCGGGTTCCTCGCACCGGCCGCCACGTGCCTTGTATCTCCGGCTGTGAACAGCACACAACACCTTGAGCTCACCGCCTTCCGCGCGCTGTGACCCCGTCCTGGGCGCCTGGCTCGGGCAGCGAGGTGCGTGCAGGGAGAGGCGGTCGGGGGCCCTCCGGGCGCCATCGCCGGCTGCAGCCCGAGCCCCTCCGCCGCCAGCTCGGCTCTCAGACCCCCCAGCCACCCGTCCTGCGCTGTCCTTCCTGGGCGCCAGACGGCAGAGGCAGGCCCCCCCACGGTGGGTCTTAACGCGACTGGGTTCAGCCACATGGCTCCCCAAGAGCCGTTCTCAGAGTGGCGGCAGCTAGCGACAGAGATGGCGGGCCCCGTCGTCCCTCCCCGTGTGTTTCTGCATCTGCTCTGCGCCTAAGCACCATCCTGAGGCAGGAAGAAACCAGGAGCAATGGTAGGAAATCCCCGTCTCCCGGCCGTGGGTCCTGCAGGAGACGGAAGGCACTGCTGCAGACTGCAGCCCCCGGCGCCCCAGCACTGAGGGGGGACAGCAGAGGGCCCTGCGTGAGCGATGCATCACAGCACAACGTGGTCCCGACGACCGCCCAGCCACCAGGTCCCCCGGTTCCGCCTCCACCACCCCCGAGCTAATATCATTCAAGGCCCCAGTTGGCCACCTTCCCAGGAGCCCCTGTGCCCAGAGCCCTCTGCAGCTGGGGCGAGCCGGTGCTGCCGGGGCGAGAGCCTGGAAAGAGGTTCCAGGGGTTCTGCCTGGCCAGCACCGCTGGTACGAGCCAAGGTTCTCGGCCTCAGGGCCGGGGGGTGCTGGATGCACTGGGGCCGGTGATCAGCGGGACCGTGCGCTGGGGTGGGACAGCCGTCTCCCAGACTCGGCGTCTAGCCGCCCGGCACCCCTGGGACGGTCAGCCCAGATGTCCACCTGGACAGCGGCCTCCGGGAGCCCGGGCCGGGAGCCCAGCCATGGACAGCTACGGGACCGTCAGCCGAGGGCACAGCGGGCCGCAGCTTCAGCAGGCCAGAGCGGCGGGCAGACCAGGGTCTAAGCTGACGGCAGGGCCCAGGAGCCCAGGCTGGGCAAGGGGGCCAGGACAGCCGTGACCAGCACGAGGAAGGGTGTGACAGTGACCAGAGTGGTGGAGAGAACGTTCCGGGCTCTCACTTTGGCCAGCGGCTGGGCTGCATCCTGCCTGCCTTTCCTGGAGTCTCTGGGACCTTTGGAGCCAGGTATGACCTCCATTTTCCCAGCTGACCCCGTAGATCCCCCCCATCTGGGACTGGATTCCAAGCAGGCATCCTGCCCGCAGGGCCCCAGGATGCTCCCTCGGTGAGGGAGTCGGTGCACGTGTGCAGGGCCTCAGGCTTCCTGGGCCCTGGAAGCCAGCAGCCACCCTTCCCAATCCCCTCGGCTGGCTGGTCGGCTGGCCTGCTGTCCCCGCCACCCCACACCTCTGCCCCAGTTCCCCCAGATGCCGCTGCTGGGGGTGACCTGGAAATAGAGCCCTATCTGGCTCATAAAGTCAGTGTGAAGGCCCTGAGGCCACCAGCCCAGCGTAAAGCAACTGAGTTAGGGAGGAAAGCATGGGGGCTGTGAAGTGACAGACAGGAAGCAGGGAAGCAGCCAGGCCCAGTGGCCGCCCCCTCCTAGCGAGTGGAGGGGCCTCGAGGTCCCGGCCAGTCCAGGGGCCCCGTCCCAGGGATGAGTGGTCTCTTGGGGCTCTGCTCCTGCCCGGGGAGCTCCTGCAGAGGAGCCGGGAGGGCAGCTCAGGCTGCAGATGCCCCACATGCCGTCTCCACCTAGTAGCCTGGCTTACCCGTGCTCCTCACCTGAGCCCTCCCATCGGCCCTCCCTGCCTGTGCCAGCCCTCACCCCTGCACAGAGCTCCCAGGGGCCTGGGCTGGGTCTGTCCTGCCTGTGGACATCCTCTGTGCAGACGTGCAGCCCCAGGCAAGCACGGAGTCCACAGCCACTGAGGGACCAGCCAGGGAATCTTCCGGTGAGTCTGGAGGGAGGGGTGGCTGCTCCCAGGGCTGGTGGGAAGGGTGCACCGAGTCTCCCCGGGGCAGTCGGGCAGGTGCCTGGCCCCTGGGAGGAGGCTGGAGCAGCCCCGTGCTGCCAGGCGCCTGCTGGAGATACTTCCTCCGCCTCCAGCCTGACGCCCTCCCAAAGCGAGGGAGAGGGGTGTTTGATTACGGTCCCTCCTGGCCCCTCCACGGTGAGCCCGCTTCCCAGCCCCTCCTGGGTCCCTCAGCTCTGCAGACGACAGCCCCACCCACATGGGAGAAGCATCGCGCAGTGGCTGCTGCCACGGAGGAAGGAACCCCCAGGCCCTGGACGGGCCCAGGAGGGTGGGCAGGGGCTGACCCGGAGCCGGGGACCAGAGGGCATGTGGGAAACACCAGGAAGCAAAGGAGTGTGGGGTGTGTGGGGATCTCAGGGCGGCTGCTGGGAGCCTCAGAGCAGTAGGCCGGGGGCTTGGCCTGGAGCCCGGGGTGCTGCCTGGCCTCGAACCAGTGATCCGCAAGCACTTACTGGGGCCCCCAGTCTGTGGGGTGGGATGTGTCGCCTCTTCTCAAGAGCCCCTGGGGGACCATAGCATGGGAATCACCTTCCCGGGTGCTGGCCCACAACCGGAGAAGGGGGGCAGGGGCGCGGCGGGGAGGGGCACTGCCCCTGAGGAGGCAGAGACAGGAATGGGCAGGGTGTGCGCTCAGGATGGGGCGGAGACAGCAAACTTGGCCGGGCCCCGGATGTCCGGAGCAGTGGGGACACCCGCTGTGGCCCGTGGAGTTCTCGTGGCTCCTGGCCCACAGAGCTCACGGACATGCGGTGGCCTCGGATGCCAGCCCCTGAACTGCCAGCCTGGACCCGAGCTGGATGGCACAGAGTGGGGGGGTGTCTGCCCTGCCCGGGGTGGTCTCAAGGCTACCATGTCCTCCCAAAGCGCTTGCTTGCTGATCCCGGAGGGAGGCCAGGAGCCTCCGGGAGCTATAAAATAGGGGGTGTGATTGTGAAATGAAGCCAAAACTCTGGAGGACCCCCGACCGCCTCAGGGGACTTCCCTGAGTGTCCGGGAAGGGGGACAGCAGAACTGGCCCAGGGCAAGTGTTGGCCCAGGGCAAGGCCCGGGTGCAGGAGGTAGAGACGGACCTTCACCTGCAGAGGCCAGCCCGATCGTGGATGCGGTCTCTGCAGACAGGTGGTCCACACAGCCGGGAGCCTGCTCCCTGTGGTCCGTGGTGTGGATGGACATCCCTAAAGGGACGTGGTCCCCAGCCCTGCCCGGCCAACCCATCCCGGGACCGCAGGGACATTCAGAGCACATCACTGAGCAGTGTTCTCCAGTGTGGGTGCCATCATCCCCAGGGAGGCCCCCCAACCTCCCTGACCCCCTCCTTTCCCCCAGCCCAAGGTCCTACAGGAGTCCCTGGCCTGAACCCCACGACTGCCGTGCTGCAGACCTCGACTGGCCTCACCGACCTGCCTTCCTGTGCCCCCAGTCCCCTCTGCAGCCCCCAAGCTCTGCCTTCTGCTCCCCAGCCGTCTGGCCACCACGCATCCACTAGTAGCTTCCAACCTGCTCCGGTCTGTGGGTGCCCCGCTGTGTGCTGGGCCGGCCCGGCTGCTCCATGAGCCCCGAAACTGCTGACCTCCTGGGTGCTGAGGGGCTAGCCCTACTGCCCCGCTCGAGACGGCACCGACCCCCAGCCCCAGCAGCTCCTCCCGACCGTGGGCCCACCAGGGCGGGCAGTACCAGTGGTCAGGGGCCCCACGGCCACGGCCACGCGCAGCACCTCCTTGTATCTCCCCAGTCAGCAAAGGCCCTCCTCTGGCCACTGTCCTTGCCGAGCCCACGTCCGCCCCGGGGACCTCGCTCCACCAACAGCCCCCCCTCTCCCGACCCCTAGCCTCCCTCACAGTTGCCCTGGCCCACGGCCAATCTCCCCCCAGGGCCCAGCTGCCCTCACCAGCCGCAGAGGGACTGGGGTCCAGGACCCCCTGCCTGGCAACCATGCTTGGAGGCTTCGGGCCCCTCCCCCAAATCCTGGATTTCGGACTCCTGCCAGAGACGGCTGGGGTCTCAGAACAGCTTGTCTTCTTCTCCCGATGGGACACTCATTCCTTCACAGCAGGACTCATCGGTGGTGAGAAAGGGCCCCCTCCCCTGCCGCCACTCTGGGGCGGCTCCCCGGCCCCACGGGCCCAGCTACCAGGGGAAGTGGCAGCACCAATTTTAAAAGCCTTTTGAAAATGCTTTTCCTTTGTTTTGTTTTATTTAGAAATTTCCCAAATTTTTACCAAGCTAAAGACACAACCACAAGAATGTGTAGCCTGGGTGGACGACTGGCATAAACAGCCCCTCCCCCACTGCCCAGCCTCCCCCCCAAACCACTGCCCCCCAACTCAGCAGCAAAAAAATGCCAAACATGTGTAAGAAAACAGTACTGCAGACAGAGCTGGGGGAGTCCACGCACCCACATGCGTGCACAGACCAGCACACGCACACGCGGGTGCACGTGCACACAGACGTGTACACCAGGACACACACGCAAATGCACACTCTCACTCATGCAGCCACACGTGTACACAGTCGACAGGCACGTGTGCACACTCACACAAATAAGTGCACGCACACACACGTGTACCTGAGCACACACATGCACACACACGCGAGCACCTGCACCAGAGCATAACACACACATGCACAGACAGCACACACATGCACACGAGAGCACACAGCACACATGTGAGCACACACGAGCACACACGAGCACACACGTGAACACACGCACAGCACACATATGGACACACGCACACGTGAGTGCACACACGTGTGAGCACACTGCACACACATGAGTGCACACAGATACGTGTGTTAGCACACATATGCACACACATGGGCACACGTGCACATACATACCACACACGTGCACACATAGCACACACATGAGCACACACTGCTGCAGGGTAGCCCTTTCCCCAGTCACTTCTGGCTGCCAGGAAGAAGTAGCTTGGGGTGAGGGTCAGTCGCTGGATCCACCCCTCCCCCACTGTCCCTGCCCTCAGTCCTTTGTCCCTGTGCCTCAGTTTCCCCTTCATGCTCCCCCTACATCTTGCAAGGTCCTTTGCAGGATCCAGGGGCCCAGGGGCAGCAACCTCTGCAATTCAGCAGGTACAGTCACGTGGTATGTGTCCTCCAGAGGTGCTCAGAGCCGAGGCCCCAGGGTCACTCCAGGTTAAGGTGGGCACCCCTGGGCCACAGCAGACCCCTGATGAAGGGCCTCCTCAGAGCAGCTGGGACTCACAGGGTTGGGAGGGGACAGGCTGGGGGAGGCAGGGACGGGCCACAGAGCCTGGCTTTAGAGCCATCTGGGCGGCACGCCCAGGCTGCACCCCTTTTTTGGGCTACAGGCCCAGAGCCCACACCCCTGAGAAGACCCCAGCTGCCCCCAGGAGCTTCCCCATCCTCCATAGTTAGCTGGTCCCACTGACCCCAGTGGCTGGGGGCCTCCCCAGAGATGTCCAGTTCCTTGGTGGAGGACACACAGCTTTAAGCTGGTACTCTAACTCAGGCCTTCCTGCCCCCAACCTCCCCAGTCACCGCCCTGCAGGCCAGAGAGCCACCCCCCCCTCCAGCTCCGAGCTCCGAGGCGCATCCCGGGAGCACTCCCACCCCCTGGACGATGGTAGCACTCAGCCCCAGGGGAGCGGCACCAGGTGCAGGGGCTGTGGCACAGGGGACACTTTGGGGGCCGACAGAGGGTCTCAGGCCTGAGGTCCCCCCCTGGGGAGGATGGACAGCTCCACTTGGCACACGCCAGGCCGGGCCTGGGGAGCTCTGCTGGCACCGAGACAGGAAGGAGAGGATCTTGGCCTTCCGAAATGTTTACTACATCAGGAAATTAATTCACTACGCACGGGCTTTGGTGACGAAGAATAAACACACACACACACACACACACACACACACACACACACTCACTCACTCGGGACAAATTGAGTCCAGGCTCAGCCTCTGCCTGGCCAGGGTGGGTGGGAGGGCCACGGTCACACACCACGAGCTGGGGGTCAGGCGGGGGGTGGGGGGTGGGCTGCCCCTGCCCACCCCCGTCCCTGGGCCGGGCCCCCGCTGGAGCCGCCCGCCTGCTCAGAGCTGTCACCGTTATACAACCCCAGACTATTTCTTCATTAATGCCCCACCGAGGGGGGCCGCTGACCCGCAGGCTGAGGAATGTGCCCGTATGGAGCCTGGGGGAGGGGGCGGCCGCTGCAGGGACAGGCCAGCCCGCCGGAGGCGCACTGCCTGCCAGGCTTCCGAGGTGCCACCCGCTCTCGCCCGGGCTGGCCCAGGCGGGCCCTGAACCAGGAGCTGGGGCATGGGTGCCGACGGGGCCGAGGTTCAAGGCAGGGCCCCGACGGGGGGTCTGAGCCAGAGGGCAGCACGGATAAAGGGGGGGACGCACCAAGGGAAGCGCAGCCCTCCCTCCTACCCCCAGAGGCCGCTACCTGCCAGGAGTCAGAGCACCAGCCTCCGCCTCTGGCAAGGCCCCAGTCAGCTGCTCATCTGTAAAATGGGATAATCTCACACCACCTGCCAGGCCCACTCAGAGCAAGACCTCAGCCCCTGTCTTCTCTCCTGCCGTCCTGGCCCCTGGCCCCTCCGCGCCCCCCGCCTGTCCCCCGTGCCCGCACGCACACTGTCCCAGCCTCCAAACACGCCCTTCCCACCCCACCCCTGGCTGCCTCCTGGGGGCACCGCATTGCCAGTGTTCCACACGCTCACAGAAGCCCTGAGAAGGACAGACGGGGAGACGCTCATCGTGCAGACGGGGACACCAAGGCGCAGAGGGGACACTCATTCCGAAGTCTGCCGCTCCGCCTCCTGCCAGTTCTGGCCACGCCCCTGGCCCCCTCCTCATGTTCAGGCACCCACCTGCCTTGCCACCCGAGACCCCTCCCCGTGTCCAGAGCTCCAGCTTTCCGAAGAACTGCGCCGTCGCAGCCCCTCGCTGCCCGCGGCTGGCTGGGCGGCTTCCCCAGGACCCTGCTTCCACCTGTCCCCACTGCCGCCCTCACGTCCCCGTACTGGCCGAGTCACAGCTCCTCTTCCCTAAGCCATGAGCCCCAGGGCCAACACCAGCCGCACCGTCCACTTGGCCGGTGCAGACTTGCCGTGGACGCCGGCGAGGTGCCCTCCCCCTCCCCACGCAGCCTTGGGGTCCTAGTGTGGGCGCAGGTACAGCGTCGGGGGTGCACACGGCTCTAGGCCTGGGTTCGGGCGCCGCCCTGGCCTTGCCCGTCGCAGCCCCAAGAGGTGTGCGGTGCTGGCGGGGAAGGACCAGCCCTCGGCTGCTGGGAGGCGTCCCTGCCGTGTGCCCAGCAGGACAGCGACAGAGGCGCCGGGCCGGGCTGGCTGAGCGGGGAGGCCCCACGCAGCAGGCGGCTCTGCCCTCACCTGAGTGTGGCTGCGCCCGGCTCTAAGCCAGTGGGGCTAAGCTGTATGAGCCAGTGCAAGTGGCCGGGGGTCCGAATTGTTGAGGCTGCTGCCCGAGGCCACAGCCCAGCAGCGCCCGCCCAATCGCTCGCACATGCCCCTGCACACCCCCCTTCCCTCCCCTTAGCCCTGTGGCCCTACAGCCAGCTCGGCCAAGCCCTCCAGACAGCCCAAGGCTCCCTGCTCAGGCAGCTCGGGAAGCAACCACAAGGTCCAGAAATGTTCCAAAGCCCCGGCCCCGGCCCTGGCCACAGCCTGCACGTGCCAAGGGCCCCGGATGTGGTGCAGGCCCACCTGGGCAGCCCCACAAAACATCTGGATCCTTAGAGTCTTTGTCCGTGAAGGAAGGTAGTGTGCTCGTGAGTAAGCCCGGCCCACGTCACACATGTGGCAAGGCCACACGTGGATTCATGTGGGTCTCCGTGGATTGGCCAAAGGGGCTTACCTTCCGCGAGAGCACAGGGCCCCTCTCCTGTCTTCCTGCCGAGGGACCTGCCACCTACCGGGGCCTTGCCCCTGCCTCACCTGCTGCCCCTCCCCCATGCTGACCCCATCCCCGCCCGGGTGCCCGGGTCCCCAGAATTTAACTTGCCCCTGGTCCTTCTGGACCGGCTCTGACCCTCACGTAGACACACCCTGCCCTTCCAATCAGGTCCCCACCCGGCAGCCACCAGGACCCCCAAATGTGACCTCCAGCCTCGCTGCCCAGCACCTTCAGCTGCCCCCACCCCCTCAGTCAGAGTTCGATCTTGCCCGGGCTCTGCTGCTCTGCCCTCGGGGTCTCCACCGCACGCAGCCCTCCCCCGAAACCCCGTTCCCCCCAGGGGCAGCACCACGCCCCGTCCCCGGCTCAGCCTAAATGCCACCTTCTCCTGGGTAAACCTGCCTCCTACGCAGCCTCGGGGCCAAGGGTCAGGAAACAGGCCCAGCCGAACCGCGGGGAGGGGAGGGGGCTGGGCAGGCTGCCCCCCATCTGGGAAGCGGGGAGACCCCGGCACCGATGGAAGGCTCGTGCTGGGAATTCATAAACCATCAGACTCGGTGCCAGAGCCGGGAAGGTCCTGCCCACCCTCACACCACCTCCTTTAGGGCTCTTGGACCCCCAACCCTGTGACACGTGAGCATCCACATTAGGCAGGACCCCGTGTGCCCGTGGGGTCCCCCAAGAAGCTCTCCATCCTCCCTGACAGGGGCGCCTCCTCTGGCCCCCGGCTGCCCTCTCCTCCCACGGCCGTGTCTGCCTGGGCCCGTGCCCACCTCCGCCTCTCCTCCTCTCTGGGGAAGTTACCTCAGTTAACTCAGTTCAGGACCGCAGGTGTCAGTGACAGGCGTCGGGGCCTCCTGCCCCCAGTGACGGCCGCGGCGGATGGACCGCGGGGCGTGTGGACACGGCCAGATCTCCAGACCCCAGTGGTGGTAGGAACCTCTACCTTCCCCCAAGCCCACAGGCTTTACCTGAACCCAGTGTGCCGCCCCCATGAGCTCAGACCCCCTCCCGGCTCCCCATTGTTCCAGTGGGGGGGGGGCTTCTGTCCCCCCCCCCCCCCCACAGCCCCGGGCTGCAGTCTGTCGCGCCCCCAGCCTCCTGTCCACGCTGGGTTTGCTGCCTGACGTGCCAGGCGAGCCCCTCTCCTTATGAGCACCCCAGACTCTGGGAAACAGCGCAGTGGGCCCGGCCCACCCTCCTCAGAGCCGAGCCTCCGCCCTCCTGACCTGCATCTCCCCCGCCCCCCCAGCACCCGCTCGCCTGGGGACACCTGCCGGGGGGGGGGCATGGCTCTCCCTGGAGCTTGGCCCTCCAGGAACGTCTCCGACGCCCGCTGCCTTCGTTGCCCAATGCAATGACACAACCCCGCTGCCCTGCCCGCAGGCACAGGGCCGCCTCGTGGGGCGTGGCCTCTCCTCCAGCGCGGCTGCTGGTCTGGCCGCACCCCTGGCACGCTCCTCTGCCCACTCACCTGCTGCCACGCCCCTCGCCACAGTGCTGGACCCGGCCCAGCCGCACACGATCCTGCCCGGGTCTGGTGCAGGTGCCTGCCCCGCTCGCCTCTGCCCCTGTTCCCAGCCAGTGTCAGTGCAGGAGCAGGGCGGGGGGGAGCGGGGGACAGGAGGGTCTAGGCCACAGGACAGTCTGTGGCACTGGCCGCACCTGGGAGAGCTGCCCGATGCTGGCCTGGCCGGGGGCGGGGGAGGGAGGGGTGCGGGACACCAGGCCCTGGTGCCCTGAGGTGTCGCCAGCCTGCCCTCGACAGAGAGGCCTGGACCCCAGGGTCCCTTCTGGCCCATCCCAGCCTCTAAAATGTCCTGCTTCTCCATAAATCAGGACCCGCTGGATTTGGTCAGGCTGCAATTACTCATCCCTACACTTATTGGGCCCCAACTGTGTGCTGGGCTCCAGGTCCTGTGTGCTCATGGCCGCTCTGTCCTTACCCAGAGCCGGGGGGACTGAGGGCAGCCCCCCCCCCAGCATCTGCAAACGTGCCTTCCCGATTGGAGGGCAGCCTTCCCCGGGCCGAGGTGGCCTGCGTTCCGAGGTGCGCGAGTGTGGGGCAGGAGCCAGCCCCGCGCCCGGCACCTCAGACGCTGACGTCACTGACCGCTGGGGGCAGCCAGACAGGAAGCCCGCCCAGCGCCGGGAGGGAGGGGCCCCAGGCTCATCTCCCAGCCCCCTCAGCACCGTGAGTCACGTGGCACCCCAGGTCCCACCTGCACACCCCCCCATCCTATGGGCCAAGTCATGGCCCTGGGGACAGCTGCCAGCCCCACGGGCTCTGCTGAGCCCCCAAGGCCAGGTTTTGGGGGGGCAGTTTGCCTTGGGGTGAAGGGCAGAAGTCCTTCTGGATGCCTGTGGCCACCAAGCGGGGGCTGGGGGCACCGGCACCGGAAGCTGGTGACAAGGAGCTGAAAATGCTGAATCTGACAGATCCCTGCTCCCCACTGAGCCTCACAACAGCCTCCACGACCCATTGTACAGAGGGGCAGGTTGAGACCAGAGGAGTGAGGTGCTTTTCCAGGGTCACACAGCGCCAGGAGAGACCCTTCCCCGCCGGGACCCCAGCCTCCTCGGTGTCCCACGGGGGTTTCTGGCATCTGCATCATACAAAATGGAAGGCCTTATGGGACAGTCCCGTGTCCTAACCCTGGTCTCAGCCGTGATGACTCAAAATCTACAAAGCCACTGAAACGAAGGAGCATTATTTTTTTCTTGGCTGAGGAATTTCTTCAAGAAGTTTGTTTTTGGCAACGAACTTTCAATTATCAAACCAAGATGTTACCAGATTGTGATGGGTGGATGGGTGAGTGGACAGACAGACGGGTGGGTGCACGGATGAGGGCACAGGGAGAGGGAGGGGTGGGTGGGTGAGGGCACGGCTGGGTGAGCGGACGGGCACAGACATGACGGCAGGCGTGGACGCGTGAGCGGGTAGGTGGGCAGGTGAGGGGCGTGGGGGTGCACGGGAGGATGGACGGACCCTCGGACGGCCCTCTCTCTGCCGGAGGGCTGTGGCTGAGACGGCGCCCTTCTCCCCCGAGTCCGTGGCCTGTGCCGTGACTCGCAGAGACACACACGCAGAGTGGCTTCTCAATCCCCAAATAAGGTGGACAAAGTCCCCTCTGGCGGCCCCGGGAGCAGGAAGCCGGGTGGGGTGGGGGGCCCTGCCCCCGGGGCTGAAGTCAGTTCCTTCTTTTCTGAACAATGGGCCTGGCCTGATCCTTGCCCTCCTCTGCCTGCTCCGCCCAAGCCGCCTCCACCTCCGACGGGGTGCGGGGCGCCCGGGAGCCGGGGCGGGGGCGGCGGGCGGGCAGGAGCGCCCAGGCCCAGGGAGGCTCACAGAGCCCTGGCCGTGGAAAGGTGCCGTGCTTCTGGTCTGGGGCCTCAGCCTGGCACCGGCTGCCCCCAGGCCCCCGCGGAGACTGGCCTTCCCGCCCGGGCACAGGAGGGCCAAGTGATGCCTCCTGGGAATTTTCCTGTGCACCCCCCCCAGCCTCCCCGCACCCCCGTGGCCAGGCTGGACCCGATTCCTCCCGCAGACCACCGGTTGGCAGGAGGCCGGTGGGCTGGGTAGAGTGAATTCCCGCCAGCCCTGCCCAGATGCCAGGGGAGGATGGAGGGTGGGACGGGAAACCGAGTCAGCGCCCGAGCACGGCTCCTCTGGTAGAATCACCCTGCTGGCTATCTCCTGGGCCTGGGCCCGGGCCCGTGCCAGCAGGGCAGCCCCACCCCTGCCCCTCGGGAGAGGGGACCCTGCCCCAGCGAGAGTGGGACACAGGACTCCATCGCAACCTGGGCGAGGCGAAGCCTCCAGCAGGGCAGGGGCCTGGCAAGGTCCAGGAGGGTGGCAGAGAGGAGCACAAAGTCTGCGCCCAGCTGGCCCGGAGGGGGCTCAGGGGACCGAGGGTCACAGCAGACATACCCTGTGGACACACGCGGCCTCAGGCCCTGCTGGGAGCAGGCGGCACTTCCTGCCCGGGGTGGGCTGTGCGAGCGAGCGGGTGGACATCTGTCCCAGTGGACACGTGGGGGCACGCACCCCACATCTTCCCTGCCACACTTATGCACCCACGCACACGCACACGCGCAGTGGGCCTCCCGGGTCAAGGCCTCCAGAGCTGTCCTTCCTCGGGGCTTCAGTGACTGGGGAAGGCCCAGGCCCCCGGCCCCGAGTGAGGGCGCCAGGGCCCCGAGCCGCCCCAGTGGCCGCGGGGTTTCGGCCTGCAGGGAGCCGCACGGCCCACACAGCACAGCCTCCCGCACCTGCTAATCTCCTCTGATCCTGACAACCTCAAGGCAAGGACAGCCTTGGGGATCTCAGGCAGCCCAGAGGGTGCCCAGAAAGGGGCCCGTGGCAGCCCTCACTCCCCCGGGCGCCGCACCCAATGCCAGGACCCGGAGAGCCCGGGCAGTGTCGCGGGAGGCCCCACACGGGGGAGTCCCGGGGGCCCCCCAGCGTCCCCCCGGCCGTCATGCGGCTGCAGGCCCAGCCCGTTGCTAGGATTAGGGCCAGGATTAGCCCACCAAGTTTCCAGAGCCCCGCGTGTCGGGTTCCCCGGTGCCATAGAAACCTGGCTGCACTCAGGGGGCAGAGGTGGCTCCTGGGTGGGGGGGTCTTTCCTGCAAGCTCAAGCCTCAGCCCCTCTCCCAAAGGGCCCGAGTACAGGGACAGGCCTGCCCCGGGCCTGGGCCCCCGGCCCCAGCTCTGCAGGGCGCCCTCTTCCTCAGAACTCTATGCTCAGGGAAGCAGTAAGTTTCCAGAGCCAGCTGTTTTCCAGACATTGCAACAAAACGAAGCCGAGTCACTCTGTGCCTGACGTGGAAAGAGAGCGTTCTTGTCTCTCCCCACACCCTCTGTGAGGCAGAAAACACCAGCTGCTTTATCCTGCGGCCCAGAGCGCACCTTGGGGCTTCACCCCCAGGCCCAGCCAAGGGCTGCCTCCTCGGAGCCCCTCTTCCCGCCCCCTATCTCCCCTGAGGCAGCCAGCACACAGGGCCATCGGGGCGGGGGAAGCCCTGGGAGACCCCCCCCCTTCACCGGCAGGCTGGCCTGAGGAAGGGGTGCCCACAGTGGGAGCGGGGACGGCATCAGCAGCCAGGGCCCCACCCCTTCCCCAGGCAGGATCCAGCCGTGTGCCTGGGGATACTCAGCAGCAGGCCCACCTACAGCCCCGTCACAGACGTCCCAGTCCATCGCAGAAGCCGAATCCAGCCCTGAGCCCCACCTGCACCCTGCAGGGTGGGCTGTGCCCACTGTCTCTCCCCCTGCGCCCTGGCAAGTGTTTGGCGCAGACCTGGGAGCTGCCCGGGGCTCCTGCGGTCCTCGGCAAGCGCTCTCAGCTCCACCATGAGCCCAGCTTCGGGGTCCAGCCACCACCTCCCTCCTTGGCACCCCCACTTCTGCCAGCTTCCACCCTGGACACCTTCAGTCTGTTCACGCAGCATCCAGAGGGTCCCTCAGCCCCTAAGCCAGACCCTCCACTAAGCCCTTGCCTCCAAGAAAAAGCTGCATCCTTCTCAGACCTTCCTGAACCTCATCGGCCCAGTCCCCTGGCGTCCTGGACTGCGCTCCAGGCCACCCCTCCCTGCCTGTGGGGCCTCCTCACCACGGCCCGGAGGCACCACACTGCTGCTGTGCACACTCTCACCCCAAAGTCCATGGGGTATCTGCTTGGAGTTGGAGGGGTGGGTGGATGGGGGGATGATGGCTAGATGGAGGGACGGAGGGATGATGGGTGAGTGGGCGGATAGAGGGGTGGATGTAGGGATAGAGAGACAGATGGGTGAAGTCACGGAAGGAGGGGTACATGGATGGAGGGATGACGGATGGAGGGATGGATGGTGGATGGAGGGGTGTAGGGAGGCATGTACGGAGGGGTGATGGGTAGGTTGGTGGATGATAGATGGATGCATGGATGGATGGATGGATAGATGATGGTGAATAGATGGATGGAGGGAGAAAAGGTGGGTGGGATAGAAGTATGAAGGATGGGTGGATAGATGGGTGGAGGGATGATGGATGGATGGATGATGGATGGAAGGATGGGTGCATAGGTGCATCCTGCTCGAGCTTCTTGGCCCTGACCTCCCACTGCCATCACCTCCAGCCACACACCCACCCCTGGCTTCTTAACCTCCAGAAGCTGCCCCTGGTTGGCCACTCAGAACACTGTCTTTAACTCTTTCACTGTCGCCCATACGAATAGACCCGACCCTCCAAATGATGCAGACTGTCCTGTGCCGTCACTACCCAACTCCGTATCCGGTGCCACGGGCCCTCCCCGGCCTGCTTCTAAGAGTCTTCATGGAGACAGGCCCCCCTGATCCTCTGAGCCCCAGTGCAGGGCTCCCCACCTGCTCTTTCCTGACAGGCCCCAGCCCCAGCAGCCCCGGGCTGCACGGCACCTCCTTGCCGGCTCAGGTAAATGGCCAGCAGCGGCCTGGCCAGCACAGGGCATGTCCTGGTCCAATGCCTTCCAGCCTGTTGGTATGGGGCCCCTGCCCCAGTCACACTGCGTCTGCATGGGGTCCTGCGCTCCCGTCCCCAGCTGGGGGTCCAGCATTGAGAGAGAATGAGGTCCACGTGGGGGGCACAGGGACACAGGCGTGCTGGTGAGGGTGGCCGTGTGCCCTGCGGCTAGGTCAGCGGCCTGCGCCTGATCCCTGGGGAGATGTGCGGCCTGCGGCCAGGGCTCCAGGACTCCTCGCCCCCCGCTTCCTCGTCTAAGCCCACCGCATCCCAACCCCCATCATCTGATTCCTCCTGACCTCCCTCCACTAACACCCTTCCCAGTCCACCTCTGTCCCAGAGAGGGACTCACTTCCCCCTACCTGGGGGCGAGCCCGTGCGCCACGCCGGGGAAGCAGGGTGGGCCAGAGCTCTCTTAGGCTGGCTTCGGGGTGTCAGGTGACCCCTGGACCCCGATTCCAATCCGGCTTGGACGAGAGGTCTGCCCTCGCCGCCACCCCAACCCCACCAGGATACGAGTCACCAATCACAAGGATGGGTGAGACCGGGGTCCTTGGGTGGGAGGTCATGACATCAGTGGAAGGGGAGGAAGGCCTCCCAGTGCTCCCTGTGCAGCCACGCCTCTGCACCCCAGCCCGGAGGACGCCCCTCAGGGAGGACCACACGACCCCAGCCCGGAGGCCAAGGCATTGGAGAGATACGTTGGGGGAGAGCGGGGGCACCAGGGGCCCATCCGCCAGCCTCCCTGGGCTCAAGCCCCTGGGGGAGGGAGGGAAGGAGGGAGGGGGAGGAAGGGGAAGATGGAGGGAGGGAGGGGCTGGCCTGGAAGTCCGGGCATCCTGTGCTCCCTCAGCTCGGTGGCTCCCGCCCCTGCTGTGGGCCTTTGGGGACTTGCCCTCCCTCGGCCCGCCTGGCATGGGGAGCCCTGCTCCCCAGTGTTGAGCTGTGGATGGGACCCTGCTGGCCGCACAGCGGACCGAGGGTGGCTCCTCCCGGCCTTGCCCTGAGTGAGCCTCCCCGAGGGGCACCGCCAGCCCAGGCCCTGGGCTCAGCCGGCCGCGGTGGCCCCCACCGCCCTCCCCCCAGAGCCCCTGGCTGGCGCTGCCGAGCATTTGAAAGTGACGCCTTCAGGGCTGCGGGGCTGGAGCCGAGCGGATCATTTATTTTCTTATTACACTGAAAAACCCAAACCGAGAAAACAAAACGATTAGTTTCTGGTCGGAACAGCCGCCCCGCAAGGATGGGGACTCCCCGCTCGCCCGCTGGGCGCTCCGGCCAGTGACCGCCGTGCAGGAAGGCGGCCGGGTCGCTGACACAAACAGGAGGAGCTGGGTTTCCCCAGGAGCCGGGCTGGGCTGGGGTCCCCGGGGCAGGGGCCGTGGAGACAGCCGGCCGCGAAGGTTTGCAGGGAAGCGGCAGCGGGGCCCTGGCCTGGGCCTGGCTGGGGGACCCCAGGCTGTCTGGTGGAGGTGGGCTCTCAGCGCCTGGCCCATGGGCTGCCGCGGGGCCCCCGAACACCAACCGCCCGAGGGCACGCGAGGTTGGGCTGGGGCCCCTCGTGCGGCCAGTGGGGCGGGTGCGCGGCTGGTCCAGGCCAGGCCTCCCGCAAGCCGGCCGGGGGCGGCGGTCCGCAGAGCCAGCCCGGGCCCGGCAGCCCAGCCACCGACCTGCTTTCCCTGCGCGCGGATGTGGTCGGATTCAATCCCGGACTGGGTAGAGGTGAGGGGGGAGGGGAAAGGCTGTAACAGGCTAAGGGGGAGGTTCGAGGGGAGCCCAAGTCAGAGGTGTGTGCAGCTGAGAGCACAAAGCCTTGGCCAAGCCCCTAGGGAGGCCCCTGCATGGGCAGCGGGGGGCAAGTGGGCTTCTAGGACAGCTGAGGTCAGCGGCCAGCAGGCAACAGTCAGCCTCGGGTAGCAGTGAGTTCCCTGTTAATGGGAGCATGCAAAGAAAGGTTCGCATCCAGAAGCCCTGGGCAGAATGACAGGGCCACCTTGCCTGTCCCCCACACCCCCTTTCAAAGCCCCATGGAGACAGGGGCTGGGCCCCCCTTGGCGGGGACTGCGTGCCAGGCAGTGGTGCTGGGGCCCGTCAGACACACCTCGTTCAATGCTCAGCGTGCGGCAGGCCCCAGGGTGGAGCCCCAGGTGCTTGTGAAGCGGCCGCGAGTGGGGACGGCTGAGCAGATGTGCCACCGAAGCCCGTGGGAGGGCCTGGGCCTGAGCCAGGGGCTGGGCCACAGGGGGCGGGCCGCACTCCGGGTGTCTGTTACCCTTCGACTCAGAAGTTAGAAACATGAGTCCGTTCAGACAAGAGGTTTGGTCTTGGGGCTCAGAGACCCCGCGGCTCAGGGACAAGTCCTGTGGGGGCCTGGGAGGCAAGGTCCCTCCAGGCCCAGGCCAGGTGGGGGGGGGCACCAGTGGGCCTCCAGGCTCCTCTGTGGACAGAGCGGTTCCTGAAGCTTCCGGGAGGCCCCACTCCAGGAGTGGAGCTTCCGGGTCTGCTAACAGACCCAGGGTACCATGGCCCCTGTGTCCACACCCGGCCGCCCCCAGAGCACCTGCCCACGGTCACTCAGACGCAGGGGAGCACCTGCCCACGGTCTCTCGGACGCAGGGGAGCACCTGCCCACGGTCTCTCGGACGCAGGGGAGCACCTGCCCACGGTCACTCAGATGCAGGGGTCTGCACTAAGCCTGACCCCCGTCTTGAATCTCAGGATCAGAGCACAGGGGGGCACCCTAAATCTCCCTGGGTGGGGGACCCTGACTCCACCCTGCTAATACTGTGGGAAGATGAGTCTCTCTGACCCAGATTTGGGAGACAAGGGTCTTTATTATTATTTAAAAATTTTTTAATTTTAACTTTTTTAACATTTATTTTTGAGAGAGACTGAGACAGAGTGTGAGTGGGGGAGTCAGAGAGAAAGGGAGACACAGAATCCGAAGCAGCTCCAGGCTCCGAGCTGTCAGCACAGAGCCCGACGCGGGGCTCAAACCCACGAACCGTGAGATCATGACCTGAGCTGAAGTCGGACGCTTAACCGACTGAGCCGCCAGGTGCCCCTCCTGCAATTTTCCTACAAACCCGCTGGTTTTATCCTCGTCTGAGGCTGTTCGCCACTGTTCTGTGACGCACTTACCACCTGCCACTTTATGGAGCACCAACTGTTTCCGAGCCCACCCTGCGCGAGCCCCGCTCCTGTGTCTGCCTGCCACCTAGGGAAACCGAGGCACAGAAAAGCTAAGCAACATGCCAGGGACTGACCGCAGGCCTGGCTGACCAGGCCCAGGCTCCGTGACCTCCCTTCTCTGTCACTCTTGCCTGGGGATCCCATTACATTGCTCGGCTCATTGGGGACCCCAAAGAGCTTGTGGGGTTGTAGGGGTGCCGCTCCTGGGATTTACCATGAAGTTAAAACGAAGATGTGGACTTGATTTTTAATAGTTACATTTTAGAAATTAAAAAAACATTTTAAATAAATGAAAAGTTACAACAGTAATCATATACTGCATATTAATGTAAATTATTTTTTTATTTTTTATTTTGGGACACAGAGGGGCATTGCTCTACGCTCCGCAAATCTCCGTGGCGCTGGAGACGAGCGATCCCGGCCACGCGTCCGCACCACGGCCTTCGGTCCCCGCGCACCGAGGCCACGGCCTTCTCCGGTGCACATAATGTGACACCAAACCTCCACACGTGGCCGTTCCCTTAGAGAGCGATGCAGCCTGGGACGTGAGGCCCTTTGGTGGCTGACGAGGGAGGGGGCTGGAGAAAGATACGTCGTGAGGCGCAGGGCGGGGCTGGATCTGGATCGGGACTGCGCCAGCCCCGTGATGCTGCAAGCGCCTGCGGGGACGGAGGCGCTGGTGGGGGGCACCGGGGGGGGCGGTGGTTTCAGGAGCTCACCCTGCCGCCTTCGCAACTTGCCTGCGAATCTAGAAATTCCAAGTGAAGGGTTTATTGCAGGGAAGCGCATGCTGGTCCGTCTTCTCCTCCCGAGGGGCCGGCTCCCAAAGTCCTGCTATTTGCTTGGAAGTTCCAGCATGATCCCTGGCAACAAAGCCCCCGCCACTCCCCAGAGGCCATGGGATCGCCGCTCTTCTCCAAGACCACGGTGGGCTTGTATCTGTCCAGCGTGGCCAGTGCGCGCTTCTCGCACAGGACACGGGAGACGTCCTGCTGGCCTAGAGCTCACGGAACCGCTGACGCCTCAGCTTCCTCAAGGACATTCCCAAGTGCAACCGGCTGCCGGGCCAGGTCCCAGCCCCCAGCTCCTGCTCCGAGCACACCCCACGCCTGGGGGGACCCACTCCAGCCCCGGCCCTGAACCCAGCCCAGCTGACACCCCTGTATAAGCGGTCCAGGTCGGGGAGCTGCCCCCTTCTCTGTCCCCACTGCACGCTCCTCCTGCTGAGTCTCTCCTCTTCCAGGGAGCCCTCCCTGACCAGCCTGGCCTAGAGGAACTTAGAGCCCCTTCAGCACCCCCAAAAGTCCTGGCTCCCCCCAACTAGGGTGTGGGTGTCCCCTGGGCATCCCCCTACACCCCCCATCAGGACAGGTTGCCTTGGCAGCCAATTATCTCCTCATCATGGGGGCTGGCAGCGCCTCCTGAGATCTCCCTCGCATGCCTGTTGCTGCCCCATGAGCCCCACACCCCAGACCTGGCAGCCGCGGGACTCCATGGGTCCCAGGAATTCTCCTGACCCCCTGGTGAACCGCTGAGAGCAAAGCCTTTGCTTCTCTGCTAATTACAAGCTGAGTCGGGGGGGGAGCACGGCTCCCGGCGACGGGCCCACCCCAGGCCACTGCCTGTGCCCAGCGCACCGTCACCAGCTTCCTAAAATGTCACTGGGAATCAGACCTGAAACCCCAGGCTGGCGTAAGAAGTTCCCATGGAGCCCACAGTGGGCAGCAATTTCCAGGATTAAGAGCCCCTGAACCCCCCAGGGGTCTCCCCACCCGGGAGGCCCCAGAGCACTGCTTTCCACCCCGGAGCCCCCAGGCCAGGGGAGGGGTGGAACGCTCCAGCCCACGGCAGCCCCCTCTGGTCCAGGAAACTGGTGTGCGGCGGGACCTGGAAGACACTCTCGCCCGGCAGTGCCAGCCAACGTCGGCCACCCGCGGGACAGGAACACGCAGAGCGCTGGCCCCTCGTCACTGGGCATGCAGGCCCCGGCGCGTGTGATGCAAGCAGAGGGAGCCCAGCCCTGGCGGGAGGGCCCTGGTCCAGCCCCCAAAACAGATGTGGCCCTGCCCTGGCCCGCGGCCGGCACGGGCGGGCCCGCCTGGCCCAGCC